ACCTCACAAAAGGCATCTTTTCACAGCTGGTGTATAAGCCTATCACTTTTATATAAAAATCCATAAATGGCTGCATCTTGCCTAGACCTCGGATTAAGAGTTCTCACTACCTCCTCTCTCACCCAGGGTCCAGCTAATTTTTCTTTCTTTCTTTCTTTCTTTTTTTGTTTGTTTGTTTGTTTGTTTGTTTGTTTTTCGAGACAGGGTTTCTCTGTGTAGTCCTGGCTGTCCTGGAACTCACTCTGTAGACCAAGCTGGCCTCGAACTCAGAAATCCACCTGCCTCTGCCTCCCAAGTGCTGGGATTAAAGGCGTGCACCACCACCGCCCGGCCCCAGCTAATTTTTCAATCAGTGCTTCCTAGCTGTCAGGTGAGGTCCTCTAAATCTCTAGCACCTAGCACTAGCTGACAGTCAATATGAAGCTCCGGGGAAGAGAGAGCTGCAAAGTCCTTCAGGGCAGTGCTGACATCAGAAGTGTTTGTTTATTTCAGACAATTCCAATAGGCATTAGAAAGAAATTGATGTTTCAGTGGTTGGCTCTCCACTATTAGTAGATACTTGTCCCAGAGCTCTTTAATACCTAGGTAGTTTCCCACAGATATGCCCATATTCGTGCATGTGAGATCATATTTACAGAACACTCTGACACATCTATAGATTTCTTTCAGACTCTCATCTCTCATTGGGAAGTTGAAGATGAGGGAGGCCACACACACTGGGATGGGCACCAAGTTCAGGCAAAACTTTCTGGGCTACTAGTGAAATTGAGACCTGAGCTGATTCATCTGCTGCCTGGGTTCATATCAAGACAAGTCTAGGTCCACAGGGCATAGATAGTTGCTTTGTCACAGTGTGCACAGCCTCCAGTGAAACCATCCTGGAAGGAAGAAATATATTCTAAAGAGATGCATATGATCTCCCCTTTGACAATCAGACCATTTAAACAATGGACCCCCAGAAATTGGAAGGAAGGGAAAGAGTGAAGTGGTACTAGTCAGAGAAGGAGACTTTATGCAGTTATGACAACTTGTCAGACCACTCTACCAGAGAGACTGAAGCTAGAGATAATGGCAAGGACACAAGACTGCTTAGTAATGCACATTTCTTGTCCTCTAATTAAACCTAAACCATATGTCAGAGCCCTGAAGATCACTTGGGAGATAATTGGATTTCACTGTCCTTCTGCCCAATGTTGCCACATTAAAAAAATTCCTTTTCTATTTTCAGTATTACATTGTCTACTTAATTGATTTATTTAGAACCAGTTTTCAAGCACAGCTTGTTGGAGCTTCTAGAACCTATGCTTTGATTCTTAACAACTCTAGTGACAATACATGTGAAATCTATTCTTCTGAATCTATTATGAGAGATGGGGGGGTAAACTGAGGAAGGATATAGAAAGTCTTACTCAGGATGCAAAAGAATCTAAACCAAGTCAACAAACTTGATTCAGTGTCTGCTCTGGCAGACTCCAAGGGATTCTCTGTGGATAAAACACTATCTCAATCGCAGGGTAGATGTGAGACAACCACATGTAAGGTTGTGATAAGTATAAAGAAGAGAAATAATATTAAAGGTTCCCCAGAAAAGGCTTCCATGAAGACTGTTCTGGGGATAGTATGAGAAAAGCTATGTTGCTGGCTACAGGGCTTAAACATAACAAATCTTCCAGAGAATAAGGAACTCAAACAGGCTAATAACAGAGTAAAGAGACAGTAACTAAGGACTCCCACTATGTTCAGGAGTATATTAATGCCTATCTTGAGGTCTGGGAGATTGGAAATGAGTGGATCTTCCTGTATCTGTCTCTAGGCACCTCCTCATTGCCAGAAGCTGCCAAGTACCAGGACTCTGGTACACCTTTCCTGTCCTCTTCTTTCTGATATATGCCAAGCCCCAGTATATAACAGGTGGTTTACAGGTACTTGTTGAATGACTGAGTATCCTTCTGAGGTGCAGGACTTCTCCTGAACAGTCCAGAGTGAATTTAGATCAATAAAGAGTTCAGATCTGTAATCTCTCAGCCCATAAATAGCATCCCCAAAGCAGCTGCTCATGAACTTTCTTTAGTTGACTTTAGTGAGAACTCAAGGTTTGCTTTTACATGGCACCATACTGAGGCAAACATTTAATATGCCTACTGTGCCTTTAGTATTTGTTCTTCCTGTGAGCCTAGCACTTTGCCAGGGACAAACAACACAGCTGGTCTGTGGAGTTCAGACAAGAACAGAAATTTATGAGAGAGTATGCCCAAGGTGAGATTATGGCAATACCTTAAGTACGTGTGTTTTTTTTTATCTGCAAGAGAAGACTGGAAGGTTGAGAAGATTACTTCTCTTGATCTCAGAAACTGAGTTTAGCCTCTGGATCAAAGTCTATCTAAAGCATACTACAATGTCCAGATGCAGGTACAGTAACTTATCTAGAGGATATGGCAGCTTCCAAAGGGGTCAATACCATTATTAGGAATAGATTTGTGTGTTTCTCCCATCTTCTAGCTCCCTCCCAGACCAGAATTCCAATGAGTCGTGTACACCCAGAACTGTGTTTTCTCCATGTGAATGAGCTTTTTATTTCTACATAAAAAGTAGTACAAGTAAACTTCTCAAGATAATATCTAGTACACTTTCTTCCATCTCTTGGAGCTTGGCCTCATGGCTGCCTCATCTTACACCCAAAATGTAGAAACTCAGAGAAGTCAGAATCTTCCCCTTCAATAGAAAATGTCAAGTAGAGAATGTCAGAGCTGATGCTGGGACCTGCCTCTAGCTCACACCAAACAGCCCTGTTCTGGGGCTCATGTGTTAGCTCCCAACTTCTATCTGGAAGCTCTGAATGCAAACCTATATCCAGAATATTTATGTTGATAGAATTTGCTTCCAGTGGTGGTAGTTTTAAGGTCTTGTGACTACAAGATGGAAACAGCGTTTATATCTTTGCCACTTGACCCCATAGTGAGGACTGTCAATCCTGCTTTAAAAGTGCCCGCCCCTGTTAGGGTTGAAGAAATAGCTCAGTGGTCAAGAGCACTTATTGCTCTTGAAGAGGACCAAAGTTCAGTTCCCAGGATCTACACTGGACAGAATACAACCACCTTTAAGTATAACTTCAAGTGATTTGATGTCCCTTTTGGCCTCCATAGGCACCTGTATACAGGTGCACACATACACACAACACATACACAACACACACACACAAACACACACAGAGGGAGGAAGGAAGGGAGGAAGAGAGAGAATAAAACAAATCTTTAGGGAAAAGGGGACTCCTATTTATTTGGGCCCACTGGATATTCCCTTTCAGTGTCTTTTAATCCATACAATGAAATCTAATCCCAACTGCCAAATAAATAGGCCCAGGCTCGGGTATATATACCAGATGCAAGGCTGTGTGCAACGGTAATAGGCTGGCTCATGTACACCTGATCCTTAGATTTGCTCCTGACTTTTGCCTTTCTGAGCTGCCTCATCTCCCTTAAAGTCTTGGAGGATTTTCAGAATTTTATTTTTAGCCTTATGAGTTAAATGTTTGTGAAACAAGCACTTCTTCTCTTGATTTTAGTGACTCCATCTCAAAAGTGGATGAGATAGCCCATTTGAATATCAGACTGTCTTCTTGGCAAATCAGGTGTTCCCTACTTGTCCTAGTAAACCTTAACTGTCACCTTAACACAGCTGAGAGTCACATGAGAAAGGAATTTCAACTGAGGGATTGTCTGGATCAAAATTTACCTGTGCCAGTGTCTTTGAGGACTGTTTTGATTGTTAATTGCTGGGCAGTACCACCCCTAGGCAGGTTGTCCTAAAAATTATGTAAGAAGGCCAGCTAAACATAATAAGCCTGTTTGTGAGCCAGAGAGCCACATTTCCCCATGATTCCTGCTGCGTCTCCTTAAAAGTGACTAGGTTTCTTGGTCAGAAGTAATGCTTTATGGAATAGCAAGCAGACCTGATTTCAAGTTCCTGCTTTGACTTTCCTCAATGATGGGTTGTTACCTGTAAGATGAAATAAATCCCTTCTCCCATGTTACATTGATGGAGCTTATTTTTCCCCTCGGGGTCTCACTATGTAGCCTTGGCTACCCTGGAACTCACAACAATCCTCTTACCTCTGCCTCTCAAGTACTGAAAATAAAGGCATGCACTACCATACCCAGCCTTTGACCAAAGCATTTTATCACTCCAGGAATGAGACTAGAACATAAATACATAAATACACTCAGCTCTAGCAAATCTCTCCTCCATCTTCTGGAGTCTGATACTACGGCTCCATCTTACATCAAAGAAGCAAAGACCCAGAGAGGTTAGGAACTCTTTCTCCATCAGATAGAGAATGTGAGGGCTGGTGCTAGAACCTGAAGCAAGGTCACATCAAATCCCTGTAATAGGCCTTACCACACCCTTATTTAACCAGAACCTGCTCAATCCCCCCGGACAGTTACCCCAGATATTCTTGTAGGGCAGTGTCACCCTTTGCAAACCAGTGAATCCCTTCCTTTTAGTACTTAACAGGGGCTTAGCGGTCATCCAACTTCTAGTAGCCTCTGTCACCCATCCTGACCGTGGGACTAGCCCTGCTCCTTCCGTCCCTGTTCTGGGGAATGAGTCTTATCTCCATATCCTCTAAATCACACAAAGCCATATTACAGGAGTGCCATCCATGGCTGCCTGAAGATGAAATATAGGCCTCTTGCTGCATCCTTTTAATTCTCTCCCTCCATCTCCTCCCACTGTCTTGCCTTTGATAGTTGCTGCCATCGTTTGTTCGTTCACTGTCTCTCTCCCTGTCCCTCCCTTTTCTCTCTCCTTTCCTCTCTTTCTTCCTCTCCCCTCCCCTTCCTTCCACCCCCTCTCCCTCCATCCATCCCTCTCTCCCTCCCCCTCCTGCCGCGCCCGCTCTTCCTCCCTCCCCTCCACAGCATTGCAGCATTCGCAGACTGCAGCTCCCAGACGCCGCCCGCATCCCTCCGGCCTCCGAAGCCCCAGCCGACGCCAGCACCATGGCCAGCACCGTATCTGGTAGGGCTCGGGAGCCTAGGGGATCATGGGACGGCGATGGGTCTTACTAGAGGCCATTGTCTAAGCAGAGGCCTCGGCTGAATCAGGAGCAAGTTACTGACTCGGTTTTCCTGTGTCGGACCTTGTGAATGGCGAGGCTGAGCTGGTCCTGCAAGAACGGGGGTCCGGAGCCCTTAATGGGCGGGAGGGGACTCAAGTGCGGAGGAGATGCTGCCGGACGCTGGGCAGGAGCCGCGCCCTAGGCAGGGTTGAATGAAATCGGGCTCCCCCGGGCATTGCCCCTTCGGGCGCCGGGGTACGGGGCCAAGGTGCGACTGCGGCATAGCGGCTCTGCAGATTCTTGCCTGCAGATAAGAGTGCCTGCAGTTCGGCTAGGAAGTACCTTAAGGCTCCAGCTATCTTGGGTTTCAGTGTCATTGAGTCTTCGTAGGGGGTTAAGGAGAAGGTGGAACCCTCCACAGAAGCCTGGACCTTGGTCCCTGAGAAATGGGGGAGGGGCGCAGAGACATAGGAGGGGACCTCTCAACCGCACATGGAGAGAGACTAGAGCCTGTAACAAGCAGGGCTTCCTCACCTCCATTCCCCACTGTGACCGCTGTACGGGGGACCACCCTCTTAGATGCTAGGGCCACCAGCTCCAGCCAGAACCTCCGCCCTTTGCGCCACTGGGTATAAGTGGAGAGGCTTGCATTTCCAAACCTTTCCGGGGTGTGGTGGGGTCTGCTTTCATAGAAAGCCTCCCACACCTCAGACTGCATAGAGGGTCGAACCCAGGCGGAGGGAAGGACACCTGCAGTATACTAGGTCCCTGCATGGTTGCGGTGGTTCGACTCTTGACCTGAAATCCTAAAACTGGACAGCCCCGCCCAGTCCTTAATCCCAGGAGGGCTTCGTCTTTTTCTGAGACTGCAGGACGCATGACACCCACCTCCTGACCTTGGTTTCCTCTAAGAACCACATGCTCTTGCTGCCTTTCCTTTCCTCAGCCCAGGAGGCTGATCCCCGCGGTCAAATAGGTCAATGCGTGGTTCTCCTTGGCTTTGGCCCCAGGTACAAACTCCACCCATCATGCAGTCCCGCCTTGAAGCCGCCCCTTACGCCCAGAGATTTTCAGTATTAGCCAAGGAGGGGACCACGTGTGTAAAAGACCCTTTAAGCTCCAGCTCCAAAAAAGTGGATCCAACCTTAGCTTTGTGCTATAGCCAGACCTGGCCCCTTTCCATCAGCCCCAGGTAGTGCCTTCCTATTGCTTAATGTCTCTCAAGTACCAGTTTCTTATTAGCTATCCTGTCCTCTTCTCCAACATCCTCACCTTCCTACAGCCAGATCATAGAGCAGGCCTGTCCCCAGGCCCTCCCAGTGGTCTCTTGTCTTATCTGTTGCTTGAGGATCTGTCTTCTGAGAAGAAAACTCCCCATTGTCTATCAAAATAAAAGAAACCATACCAAGGAATATGTCCATGACCACCAGACACTGCCACTGACTGCAGCTACAACATATGGTACTTCACTTGCCAGTTGAACACTTAGGTTTCCAGCTTTGACTTCAGGAACCTCTGACCTACCTGGACAACACCCCACCCTTCTCTCCAGGTACTCACTCCTGCTAGACTGGTACTGCTCCCTGAATTCGTGACAGCTTCTCTTATGCTGAAGTGATAGGTATCTGGGAGGTAGCCTCCCGGTACTGTCTCTTAAATTTGATGTTATTTGCTATAAACCTGCAGTACTTTCCCTGTGAATGTTTCACACTCAAGCCAAAATGGCCTTTGAGCAACTATCAGGTCCTAGGTTCCTGACCTGACCTATGAGGACAGACTGTCAGAGGTTTGTATACAAGATGAGAAATAACAATAATGAAAGCTAGAACCAGCAGGGAAGTGGGTACTAGCTAGCTTGGACTTGAAAAGAACAAAGACCCTTCTTTCTGGCCTCTTTCAGGATTTTGGTCTATCCTGCCCTAGCCAAGATCCTGTCCTACTCCTTGCATCCTGTCAGCACAAGACTGACCTCCTCTAGATCCACCAGATAACTACTTACTGGCTTGTTACTGTCAATCTCTCAGATCCTCTAGCTCCTCATCACATGATCTGAAACATGCCCCTCTACATCTTTTGTTGGATCAACCTTTCATAGCACAAATACATGAGTGGATTTTGTTTATGAAAAGATAAAACTTGGCTAGGCATGGTACACTCAGGAGGTTGAGGCAGGATGATCAGGAGTTCAAGGCCAGGCTTTGCTACATTGTGAGTTCAAGGTCAGCCTAGGCTACATTATAGCCTGTCTTAAAAAAAAATCACAACAAACAGAAAGAAAAGGAAGAAGAAAAGGAAGGAGGGGTAGAGGACATGGAGAAGAGAACACCAGGGTCAGGGGAGATGGCTCACAGTGTAAGAGTATTGGCTGCTCTTCCAGAGGACCCAGGTTTGTTTCCTATACCCACATTGTGGTGGCTCACAAATCTCTATAACTCCAGTCTCAGGGGATCTGACCGTACTATTCTGACATCCATGGATATCAAGCATAAATGTGGTGCATAGATGTACATGCAGGCAAAAGAAAAATATGCACACATACATATAAAATAAAATAAAAGCATGAAGTCCTATTTGAGGTCTACCCCCCTCCTGACTTTTTCTCTCTTTTTGCTTCTGAATTCTTCTGAAGATAATGACTAGCCTTGCTTTGCCCACTCTGGGGGTTGTTTCTGCTCCCTCTGCTGCTGCTAGGGCTCCATGCTGCTTTCAAATGAATCTGACTAATTATAAATTTTAAACCAACCAGCATTCTCTGTGCTTATTGTGGGAGGACAAAATGTACCATGAAAGTTTTGACCATTTCTATTCCATATCCTCAATTCTTTGCCAACTCATTTTTTTTTTTTATTATCAGGTAAAACTTGATCAGAAAGTCTCTGGTCTGTCTAATAAATGCTTGTCCAAGCTCCTCTTGTCTGTTACCTCAAAGAGTACTAGTAGATAATCAAACATTCAAACATGGAAGTGGGTTTCTCCTCCTCCCCCTTCTCTTCCTCCTACTTTTCTTACCTAGAGACCTAGACCTGAGTCTTAAAGCCTACAAGACTTCGGAAATTGATAGAACAGAGAGAAGAATACTGATTATCTAGAATTGCATTTCAATGAATGTTGTTACTGTCATCCCAGTAAGTTAAAATCTAGCATTGTCCCTGAGGAATGGAATAATTGTACATTACTGAGACAGTAGTCTCCAATGGAGCTGGTTCACAAGTGAATGGACCCAGAACAGTAAGATTATTTTCATTTTAAAAATGAGTACTTCTTTCTTTCTGTTGGGAGTCAGGGTCATAGTCACCAGTTTGCCTTTCTTTCTAGTTGAGTAGCAAGAATACTGGATGAGGGCACTTGATCTGGAAGGAAGCAGTGAGCTTGTAGCTCAGTGGACAGCTCCTATATATGGTTTGTCTTTGCCCTTGGTAGAACCTGCCTATCCTACATGAAAGGGCAGTGAGTGAGTGGATATCTGGAGAGAACAAAGATTCACCTCAAAGTGGTAAATATGGAGGAAGCAGTGGTATCTGAGGCCTTTCTCAAGTTTACAGCCAGAGAGAGAGAGAGATGCTCTACAGGTGGAAGTCTCAGCTATTTGGGAGTTGGGGGCAGGAGGATCACTTGAACAGAAAGGTTCAAGGCCATCTTGAGCAATATAGCAAGATCCAGTCTCTGAGGAAGGGAAAAAGGGAAGAAGGCACTGAGGAAAGAATGAAAGGGGTGGGTGTGGAGTGGGGGGTGGGGGTGGGAGTGGGTTGGGGAGGGGGGCTACTGGGAGAGTTTCCTACAGCTGTACTTGTCCTGCTCAGGAAACTGGAGGCAGAAATGGGCACCTTTTTATGAATTTGAGAAAAACAAGCCAAGATACAAAATTACCAGTAATCACAGAAAGGTATATTCAGATAAAGAAACAATTTGAATACTGACAACCAGAGACATAGAAAGACACAAAAAAGCTGGATGTAGTAGCTTACATTTATAATCTTAACACAGGAGGCTGTGGCAGAAAGATTATTGGGAGTTGAAAGCCGATCTAGACTGGAGTAAAACTCTGTTTAAAAACAGAAAGGCAAAACAAACAAGCAAAAATCTAAAACAGTGATTAAGTAAAAAGAGACAGAGGACAGAGACCCTAACTGAAGTGTTATAGTTTGTTCAGACAAATCAGAAAAATACCTTTAGGCTGGGTATTTCTTCTAAAAAACCAGAAATTTATTATATCTATTATATCTATACTCTAGAAACTTAAAGTCAAGGCACCACTAGATTTGCTTCATAGGTGTGTCCTTGTGACTTCAAGTGTTGAAAGAGTTGAAGGGTTACTAAGGATCCTGTGCAGTAAGATCATTAATCTCATTCAGGAGTTTGCACAAATGAAAATCCCAAAACTGTTTTAATTTTCTTATTTCAGACAAGGTTGTACTCCAGTTTGCCCTTTTATGACCTGCTTACCTCCTAACACTATCATACAAGGGTATGATTTTTAACCTGTGAATATTGGGAAATGAACATTTGGACCACAGCAGACAGAGAAAAACATACAAAAAGAGTAAGAGACAGAGACAGGTCAGGCACAGTAGTGCACATCTGTAATCTTTGCTTTGGGGAACATGAGTTCAAACACCAATATGATGTACATGATGAGTTCCAGGCCAGCATGGGCTATGTAGCAAGACTATCTAAAAACAAACAGAGGCATGGTGGTACACACCTATACATCCAGCATTTGGAAAGTGGAAGCAGATGGGTAAATAATTCAAGGTCATTCTAGGCTACATAGTGAATTTAAGGCCAGCCTGGATTACTTGAGACCCAGTCACAAAACAAAACAAATATGCACATAGATAAAGACCAATGTAGAAGATAGAGACATAGAAACGCCACGTGGCCATGGTACCCGCTCACCTTGACTTCACATCCACAGCCTACAAGGAGAAGATGAAGGAGTTATCTGTGCTGTCGCTCATCTGTTCCTGCTTCTACTCGCAGCCTCACCCGAACACCATCTACCAGTATGGGGGTGAGTGTATCCACACAGCGGCTGGCCCTGCTCAGCTAGGGCTTGACAGCCTTACTTCTCTGCCTCTGGCAATGCTGTGGCCTGGCTGGAGAGAGTCATCCAGGGTGGAGGGACCCATGCTCAAGGGTACTACCTGAGCAACAGCACCCTTTCTCAACCCTTGTTGGGATGTGTGCTGGAAATGAACCTCTGATCCTGCCTGTATGCCCAAACTAGGCCTCCTGAAGTCCCATCTTGTCTTGCCCTACAGATATGGAAGTGAAGCAGCTGGATAAGCGGGCCTCTGGCCAGAGCTTCGAGGTCATCCTCAAGTCTCCTTCTGACCTGTCTCCAGAGAGCCCTGTGCTCTCTTCTCCCCCTAAGAGGAAGGACGCTTCCTTGGAAGAGCTGCAGAAGCGGCTGGAGGCAGCTGAGGAGCGGAGGAAGGCAAGGACTCTCCATACACACTTGACATTGCTGACCAGGCCCTTTGCTTGGTCAGGGCATTGGGCTGGGTAGTGCAGAACTTGCTGCTCAGCAATTGGAATGAGATAAGAGACAAAATGGTGACAAACACAGGGCAACAGGAAACATATTCTTGAGGGGAACCTCAACCTTAATCATGGCAAAGGGAGGTCAGGTTGTATTCCTTCAGAAAAAGCTCTTAGGACACAAAGCTGAGGCTAGTGCTCCTTTCTAGGACAGAAGGGTGAGGAGAAAAGGTCTCATATCTGAAGATGGTTAGCTGGGTTGGGTAGGTAGTTCAGTGGGGTCCTGGAAGGTATGAATGGGGCTCACAGCCCCTCCTCCACACCAGCTCCTTTGAGACTGAAACATAGACCAAGATTTGTTTTAGGATTGAGATCCTAGAGGCAAAGTCCACTCACTGTACAGAGGAAATGACTTAATCTATACACAATAGGACCCAGACTCAGCAAATTTACCTTAAAGACTGATGTACCCATAGGTGCTTGGCATCATTCAGGAGGCATCGTAGGCCAGGAACTAATCACCCCAGGGATCTTGGCTCTCCCCATTATCCATTATTCCAGGATCATCAGACACTCCTTTCCCCAGCACAGCAGGATAGAATGTCATCACAATGTCCCACCCCAGATCCCTGTGGACACAGGTCCTTGCTGAGCAATAGTGGGGAGCTAGGACCTAGCTGGGCTAACTACATCTATACCTGCTCAGTGTTTAACAGACAGTTGTCTGGGGTGGTCTTGAGAAGTCAGCACAACTCACAGTTCAGAATTTACCCTGCTCCTCCAACATTTGTGAGGTTGGGACTTCTCAGTCCAACAAGAAGACTCTGTGACCAAGGGTAGCATAAACGGCAAGCCATCGAGGTTCACCTGGCACTGGAAGGCAAACAGATTTTTCAGTGCAAAAGCTCCAGAAGTCTCAGGCAAAGTGGGATGGGGTGGAGGACAGTGTAAGGTTCCTAGCCTCATAGAAACTAGTCGCAGGGACTTAAGGAAGAGTGATGAGTACTGGTTGGAGTCAGAAGATCGGGAAAAGTGAGTCATGGCTAAGCTGGGAACAGAGGGACAGAGCGGGCCTTCTACAACAGAAACTTGGCTCCCTCCTTGCCTGCTTGGGTCCCAGGACAGAGATGGTTGAGGCCATCTCCTGTCTGGGTCCATGTCCTGGCAGGTGAGACGTATGGGTCTTGTCTAGCGGTTGGGCACCAGAGAGTGAAGGCCTGACTCAGGAGGGATTCGGACCACTGCTCACTAACCCCTAGCTCTGTACAGACTCAGGAGGCTCAGGTGCTGAAGCAGCTGGCAGAGCGGCGTGAGCATGAGCGGGAGGTTCTGCACAAGGCGCTGGAAGAAAACAATAACTTTAGCCGCCTGGCGGAGGAGAAGCTCAACTACAAGATGGAGCTGAGCAAGGAGATCCGTGAGGCGCACCTGGCAGCGCTGCGTGAGCGGCTGCGAGAGAAGGTAGGCACTCGCGAGGGTGGGGTGGGGTTGGAGGTGAGTGGGGTTTGGGTTGGGGCGGTAGTGTAAGGAGGGGGCATTGACATGGAGGGCGTGGTCACAGCGGGCCAGACTCTGGCTGTGAGACCTGGTCTGTGCATCAAGTGAAGAAGGTCCTAATAATGCCTTTCTAAAGTTGGGCACTTCCCTTAGCCTTGGAATCAGACCCAGAACCTGGTTCTAGTAAGACACATTCACCTTTAATCCCAGCACTTGGGAGGCAGAGGCAGGCGGATTTCTGAGTTCGAGGCCAGCCTGGTCTATAGAGCGAGTTCCAGGACAGCGAGGGCTACACAGAGAAACCTTATCTTGAAAAAACAAAAAACAAAACAAAACAAAAAGACACATTCAACAACCACAGTAGTGTATGGTTAAATTAGTTATGAAGCGCTCTGAAGGATTTTGCATGCCTGCGGGATCCAGCTCCAAGAGGAGTTGGAACTTGTTTACGTAGGGAGTCAGATGCTTAACCGTTAGTCTGATCCTTAAGCACTGTGGTTCCAAGGCTCCTGAAGTATAGTGGTGCACCTATATACCTGGAAGTTCCTGGGGACACTCTTACCCTTGGCCAGTCCTCCGAGTTCCTCCTTGTCTTCACAGGAGCTGCATGCTGCTGAGGTGCGCAGGAACAAGGAGCAGCGAGAGGAAATGTCTGGCTAAGGAGCATTGGACCCAGCAGCGACAAAACATTTTCCGGTTTTGTTTTTGTTTTCAATTCTGTCTAGATGCGAATTTTGTGCCTGCTCCTATCTGCTCCCCTGTACCCCCAGCTTCCTGCTTTTTCCCCACACTCTGAACTGTCCAGTCCTTGTAATGTGTCTGACCTTGGGCTCTTCCTGAAGGAGCTCCTTAGGCAGGAGATATGGTCCCTATTCAGACACTAGCCCAGGTGTGGCTGGGGCTCTCTTAGTGGCCCTCTTAGTGGATGTGTTGGCAACCTTAATAAATCTAGTGGCAGTGGCACAAATGTGTGGATTTTCATTCAGGTTCTCAGACTGGGTTGAATGAGAGTTCGTCCTCTCAGCTTCTGCAGGCCAGACAGCAGCATCTACCTGAAATTTTATAGGAAACTGTGGACTCTATAGAAGGCAGAGAAAGACTGAGGATCCCCAGAGTAGGTTGGATCCATTCTGTCACTGTGGTCAGCCCTGGAGCCTATGTGCATCAGAGCTACCAGGGCTAGAGAGTGAGAGTTACAGCCTTCTAATGTGGTTTCACGGGAGTACTGAGCTCACCTAGTCCCGGGGCACCCAGGGCCAATTTTAGAGCCTACAGTCATTGCACAAGGGCTGTGTTGGGGTATTATCTCACCTGAATTGGTTTGGGGTATGTATTCTTCACCAAGGGCCCATGAACTTATGTGGTCTAGAGAGCACATCATGGATATCTTCTACTGTACCTGCTGTCTCAGAAGTACATGCTCTTTGCAAAGCATTAGCTGAGGCATTCTGTGGAGCCACTCTTAATACCCCTGCCCCATGCAGGGGGTTTTATAGCCTCTTGGAATTCTGTCCCCTTACCCCTGTCAAATGCCGTGATTCAAGAACACTCTTGGACACTGGAATTCTAGCCTCACTTGTTGGCAGGCATGGCCAGGTGTGAGAAAGGAGCAGTCATGAATTCTCAGGGAGCTCTTGGGTGTGCGAGATTGTTTAGAACCAGCTGCTTGCAGATTTAGATGCTGGAAGGTTCAGTGTTCCCAAGTCATGCTCCCCACATTCATCCTGAAACCCTTACTAAGGGCAGAAAACTTGACTCTAGGCCTCTCATGCTTAAGCATCTAGGCAGGGTCCTTTCCTCTTTCTCAGCCCAGGGGCTACCAATGTCCCAATGGTGGCCTTTGAAGATGGTGCCCTGCTTGGACACACTGAGAATCCCATGATTTTGTGACAAGGCAGCATTTTCTCTCTTCTCCATGTAGCCCCATTTCACCATTAAGTTCCAGAAGCCAGGATAACTTCTCACCTGCCTGGTATAAAATGTGAGGAAGAAAGATGATGTGTTCTTTAACAACCTAGAACCAACCGAGGCTACAGAAACCAGGTAGCTGTAGCCATAGGTGCCTCTGCCCTCCATCAGGCAGGAAAAACCCTTGAGGGCACTAGGAAAGGTCTTCCAGAGCCTATCTAGGAAACACAGAGGATACTGACCATTGCAGTGGCTCAGAGGAAATAGTTCAATCACAAGAGGAAGCAACAATCAGGACCTGGACTCTACAGTGCCCACAAGTGGGTTTTGTGGGACTCATAAAGGGGAAGAAGAAAAGGAACTGAGACTAGATTTCTTCTAATGGCAACTCTTAAGTAGCCAAAGTCCAGTGTAGCATGCACCCATCTCATGCACACAGTGAACTTACAAGTGAAATTAAATGAATAAGAATAACCAACAAAATGGTTCAGCCAGTAAAGGAACTTGCTGCCAAAGCTGAGGACCTGAGTCTAATTTGCAGGACTCACGTGGTAGAAGGGAACTAAGTCATATATCCTGTCCTCTGACCGCCACAAGCATGCCATAGCATGCACACTCACACACACATACATGATAAATAAGTAAATAAAATTTTAAAAAGATACATATGTGTTTAGAAATAGCTGTGTTACCTAGTGTTGTGTCTGTCATCTGCTGAGCCAAGGAAGCCTGTGAACTCACTGTAAGGGAGCATTTATCTTGGACACAACTCCATACTGATACCAGCTGTCAATCATATTTTAAAATCATGATTGTTTTGGGGAGTATGTCAACACAATGTCACAAGAACAAGCTAGAGCCAAGAGTCAGACCTCAGCCTAGTCTGGTTGCTACTGGGGTCACCTCTATCTCCCCAAAAGGAATTTTTCTAAGGGGTATCTCATTGACTGTGGTGCTTTCCAGCTGGTCAGTTACTGCTGATAGAACCTGGTCTACAGTCACAATTAAATTATGTCTTGAGGCTCAAGGCTTTAGGGATACCTGAAATGGAACTGCCCAGCAGCAACTTGCCCCATAGCTCTGTGGACTTGTTCCTGGTCACCATTATATAGCAAGTTATTTCCAGCTTCAGGGAATGAGGAGATACCCTGACTGATCTTGCAGATATATCTGTCCCCTTAGAATCCAAAAAGTTACTGGGGATGCCAAGTGAGAATCATGTACTAAAAGGGGCACATGAATCTACTCAAGTTCATATGTGGGCTTCCAGGCTGGAGAGATACTGCTTTCCACAACTCAAGGAGAAACACAAGAGTGACATCATCTCTGGTGATGTCACTCTTCTAGCTCATATGCAGGAAGGGTGGAATGTCTTCCATCCAGTTAGAATGTAAGACACTGAAGGAAACAGAGACATGAGATGGTGGGAGTAAAGGGGGCACACTGGAGTATCATATGATGTGGAATCTGCCTGTCTGGGTTCTGGGTATTGATGGTATAAACTCCAGAAAAGCATACTTAGCTCTGGCATAGCAGAAAACCAGGCTGACCATAGCCAGAACTTCTTAGTTTGCATGTTAGGGAATGGGAGGAACTTGGTAAGTAATCAAGGGAAAGATGGTACTTATGAGAGTCACTATGTGGAGCCTCCAACAACAGACAGGGATGGGAATCTTTCAAGCTGATTCCATTTTTTTTTCTTAAAGAACCGAAGTAAAAAGAACCCACATGGGTTCCCTGTGGGAAGGTGGTCAGGGTCTAGTAGTCACCTAATATTACCTGCATATTACCCTAAGGAACAACTGAAAACACAAATGTTATCTCAGCTTCCATAAGTACAGATACAGGAGCTGAGCATCTATGATTTAAGCTAGGGACAGAATGTCAACAGTCTTTGTTGTAAGCCTCTCGAAGCACCTGAGTGGCTAGAACCCCACCTCCGAAGACTTCCGCCAGGTTCCACTCACAGAACACTCTAACTGCCCTAACCAGTTCCTCTGCCCTATAGAATAAAAAGCCCTAACCCACCTCCAGCGTAGGACTTAAAATCCCACCAACCTCTGAGCTCACCCCAAGCTCTGGATTTGAAATCCCACCAATCCCCACTCTGAAAATCCCTACCCTAGAAAGCTCCCCTCTCCAAGAAATGCTATATAAATTCTGTCCTCTGCTCAGTTCTATGCTGCTTCTTGCCTGAGCAGAGATAGCCACCGTCCTGGGTTCTTCCCTCCCAAAAAATCCTTGTGTGACATTTGTTGTGTGGTATGACTTTGTAGTATTCCTTGGCTTCTAACTGCTAGGATACCTTTTGTTGTTCCTGAGTGAAATGCTGCAAAAGCCACCAAAGTGGTAGCTGGTCGCTCTTTCTCACCCCAGCCTACTGCCACCATAAGATGCGGCCACAGGAACTGTCAAAATGGTGGCACCATAACATCACCTCAGCCTGCAGCAGTCATAGGAGCTGTCCACATCTCCTTTTCCACCTTAGCCAACAGCCTCTGTGAAATAATACCGCAGGAGCTGTCCATGGTGGCAGCACCTCCTCTCCAGCCTCCCCAAGCAGTTCCACAAGCATGGCACCTCAGCCAAAGTCACATTGCGCAACAAATCTCACACAAGAGACTTATTGAGACCAGGAGGGTGGCTGCCTCTGCTCAGAGAGAAGCAGCAGAGAATTGGGCAGAATATAGGGTTAATATAAGGTTTCTTAGGGGTGTGGTTGGGAGCTTTCCAAGGTGACCTGATAATGGGGCAAGTCCAGGGATTGGTGGGATTTTCTCTAGAAGGGCAGGGTCTTGCCACTCTCTGGGCCACAGGGTTGGGGCTACTGTCTAATGGCTGTTAGAAAAGGGCCATTAGGGAAGTTTAGGGGGACAGTGGGTTACAGCTGTTTCCATCTTTAAGGTCTGGCTGCTGGAGCTCCTCAGGCAGGGCCTGGTCAATGGTTTGCATTGAGGGTCTACAAAGTTTACAAATGGAGATCACTGCAGGGAAAGTCTTGTCTGCCATTTGAGCTGGCATGAACAGCCAACATTCACTATAAAGTCCTTGCAGAGTGGGAACTTACCATGTAGATCAGGCTGGTCTTGAGCTGACAGAGATTCGCTTGCATGTTTCTCAGTTTCTGGGATTAAAGGCATGTGCCGCTATCCTCAGCTTTGTGGGCTTACATCGATACACACCACACACACAACTAAGAAAGCATTAAATGTGTTCATTTATCGAGTATGTACAGAAGAATAGCACCAATAGGATGAAAATAGGAAAAAGGATTTATTAGATTGACATACAGGATATGGTTTAGGTAATCCAACAATGGCTGTCTTAACACCAGAGAAACAGAAGACTGGTAGCTGTTCCATCTACCCAGCTGGGTGCCTCAGTAGTCCCAATGTGGTGTTGAAGTTCCAGAGGATTCTTGAGAGAGTAATTGGTCTTCAGTTTAGGTTGGAAGGCTGAAGAAGCTGGATGCTAATGACAAAGAAGGGCAGCAGCAGTGACAAAGGAAGGAACAATGTAAGTGAGCAGGGAAGATAGCTGACCAACAAGACACAAAAGCAACAACAACAACAAAAAACCAAAAACCAAAAACAACAACATGTTTTCCCCTCAGTCCTCCTTGTTTTGTGGCTGGTGCTGGAAGTGCTGGGTCTTCCCACTTCAGCTAATGTAATCAATTCCCTTGCTGCTGCTTCGGCTCTTTCAAAGGATAAGAGCTTAAACACCCACAGGCAGCTCAAAACTGTCTCTAATTGCAGGCCCAGTGGATCCTGACACCTCTGGCCTCTGTGAGGACCGGCACTCATACACACATGTGGTTCCTGGGCCCCCACGTCTCAGGATGTTCTTCCACTGGGACACTGTCCCACCTCAGAGCTGTGTGGTTCTGGGCTTCTGAGTCCCAGCATAGTATCTTCCATCAGAGCAGAAACTTACACCTCTCCCCTCAGAGCTGTAACACTTACAGTCACACACACCCACACCTAATTGAAAATAATAAAAATAAGTATCTTTTTTAAAGAGAAAATCTCTCAAAGTCATGGCCAGAGGTTAATCTAATCTAGATAATACCTAAGAGGTGTACCCAGAGACTTGTCTTTTAGTTGATTCCAGATGGATCCAAGTTGACAAGTAGGATTAGCAATCACACTGTTGACAACACATTAGATGTGCAGTGAGTGCTCAGGATCACACAGCACAGAGACAGACGTCCAGAGATGTGAGAACACATCACACCAGACCTCACTAGCCTGGGAGGAAACCAAAAGTACAGAGGCTAATGGCACAGCGTGGTGGTGAAGTATGCTTTGCATGCACGAGCCCTGGGGTTTAATCCCCAGCACTGTAGAAATGAAACCAAACAAAAATACTAAACTCCTAATTCTGCCCATGCTTCTTGGCCCTGGTGGTGAAAGATGCCCAGAGACCTGCCCTCTACCATACAGTACAGGCGGGCCATAGACACACAGGGGCCATCTGCCTCCAAGCCAGATGGCTCAGGAAGGGGAGATGTCCACTGACCTGCCTGCTGCCATGCTAGATGGGCAGGTGGACTGTAGACAACAGGATAACTAGGAGGAGTCCTGGTGATGATCCCATATTGATGGTGTGACCAAAACTAGAGACCTTGAACTGGACCAATGACTCATTGCAATGAATATTTGCAAGTGAAGATGGGGGACAGAGGGGTAAACTGATGGACACATATGACACTGTAAAAAAAAATGATCAGTTTTTTCTCCCAGCCCTTGTGCTCCCAGAATGAAGACTCTGAGACTGGTTATTATTAAATGCCTAGGCCATGAGCTTTGGCTCATTCCCTGACTAGCCTGTAACTTATGTAACCCATTCAAACTATTCTGTCTTCCATATCTTACCTCTCCTTTCTTCGTGTCTCTTCATCATCTCTCACTGCTTCTTGCTCGAATCTCCTTCTGAGTCTTATTTTCTCACCATTTCCCAGAATCCTCTCTTCCTGCAAATGCTCCACCTATTTCCTGCCTCAGTTCATTGACCTTTGGCTTTTAAGAGATTCTCTTTACATGAGACATTATAGCTTCCATGAGATGTTTTCTATGCTTTGTTATGGAAAGCATGTGCAAACTTTTCAGGCAAAATTGATAATTATCCAAAAGACAAGTTGTTACAGTTTTCCTCTATGCATGCTTTTGTATTTCCTGTAAATTTATGCATGCAGCACATAGAAAATGCGATTACTATATTTACAAATGGCTTATCTAATGGGAAGGCAGCATATGTGATTGGATCGCATGTTCATTCTCTTGAGTTTTCCCGCTGCTTCAGCACAAATAATTGAACTTCGTGCTGTAGCTGCTGTTTTTGAAATGCTGAAAAACCAAGCTTTTAATTTGTATACTGATAGCCAATATATAGCTCATTACTTACAATTACTTGAAACTGTTCCTTTTTTAGATACTGCTAATTCTCAAATTTTCCAATTACTTATGCAAATACAACTCAATTTAAGAGAATGTACAGTTCCTTATTTTGTAGGACATTTAAGAGCTCATACTGGACTGCCCAGATCCCTTAGTGAGGGCAATGCCAGAGCAGATTTGTACACCAGGAAGGTTATAGGCCTTACACAGGAACCGTTAGCTAAACAATCTCATTCTTTACATCATCAAAATAGTAATAGCTTGAGACAACAATTTGGTATGTCTAGAGAATGTGCACGTCAAATTATAAAGACTTGTCCTGAATGTCCTCAATTTCTTCCTGTACCATGTGACGTGTTAATCCTCAAGCACTTATACCTAATCAATTATGAAAAATTAAAATATGTACATGTAACTATTGACACCTTTTCAGGCTTTCTAGTTGCAACTGCTTTAACAGGAGAAGCAACTAAAAATGTAATTAGTCATTGCCTGCATTGTTTTTCTATACTGGGTGTTCCCAAACAGATTAAAACAGATAATGGAACTGGGTATTGCAGTCAAGAATTTGAGATGTTTTGTCAACAATTTAATATTATCCATATTACTGGGATTCCTTTTAATCAAGGTCAAGGTATTAAGAAACAGGTATTGTGGATCTTTAGAAACAATATCTTCATAAAATGAAAAGGTGGGAGTTATATCCCTGTACACTAGTAATTTATTTCAATCATGTTCTTTTATTTTAAATTTTAAAATTTAGATGCCAAGGAACTCTCTGTTGAGTGTCTATGGCATCCTACAACTAGGCATACTTATGCCTAGGTGAAATAGAATGATCCACTTACAGGCATATGCCATGATCCAGATCAGGTATTTAATATGGGAAAGAAGGAATGTTAGTGTTTTTTCCCATAGGATGCTTAAGGAGAAGGCTAGCTGCCAGAATGATTGGTGAGACATGCTGATGCTGGGACAAAGAATGATGCTGACCTGTGTGCTTGCTGAGTACCCTGACAATGGTGACTGGGAAGCTGTATTGGACACATGTTCCTGACCCACTTTTGCTTGCTTATATCGCAGATTGGACAAGCTGCCTTGCTTCAAGCTTTTAGACCTTGTGGGACAGAGCATCAAAAAATAAGTTATAATGACTCTTCTACTTCCTCTAATGTGACCAGTTATTCTGACTCACTCATGGACTGGTCTAGAAATCAATCCAATATTGGAAATGACAGTCTTCATTTGGAAGGCTGGTTCTGGACATTTTCAGAGACATATTTAGAAGTTAGCTGTAGTTCTCTATAATGTTAGCAAGAGATAAAGTTGGGGCAGGATCTGGATTTCAAACAAGTGTTAATGTATGTGTTAAGGCTCTTTTAATTCCCATGTTAAAATTATTTTTGTTTCTTCTACAGTATTCAATGTAAGTTGTATTGATTGTACACTTTCTAATTGTGTTAATGTATTGAAAACTGGCATGTCTTTTATGGTGGTCTATCAAACAGCTTTTGTTTTACTGCCTGTGAGTATTACAGAACCTTGGTATTCTGAAAAAAGCTTGCAAGTACTGGAAGAATTGAGTCAGGCCTTAAGAGGAAGCAAGAGGGTAGTGGGCTTGGTTATTGTTGGCATAGCAGCTTTGATTACATTAATAGCTAGCACCACTGCTTCCAGAATTGCCCTCACACAAGAAGTTAAGACAGCTATGTTTGTTAATCATCTAGCAAAAAATGTTACTAATATTCTGAGTATTTAAGAGGATTTAGATAGACATTTGGAACAATGAATTGATGCTCTTTATACTATTCAAATTATTGGAGAGGAGGTTTAGGGTTTAAATGTAAGGAGCTATCTTGAGTGCCATGCCAAATACCAATGGATTTCTGTTACTTCTAAAATTTACAATGACAGCCACTATAATTGGGAAAAGGTTCAAAGATACTTGCAGGGTATTTGCCATAATTCTAACACCTCCCTGGATGTTTTAGCTTTGCACACTGAAATTATGAATTTAAAGAATTCTTCTCCAATGAGTTTTGATCCAGCAGATACTCCTGATAAAATTATTCATGGCCTGATGTCAGTATTTCCATCTTGGTCAAGCTTCAAGAATGGCATATACAGCTTGATCATGCTAGCCCTTTTGTCCTGGGAATATTTTATTCCTGCCCACCATTTTAAAGCTTGTCTTTAACAAGATCAACATGTTGGCAGCCAAAGAACATGGCTTGAAACTAAAAATGGCCCCCCAAATTTAACAAGCTGGCAAGCCAAGGACAGGGAACCTTCTACAGCACCTTACCAACCTAAGACATAAATGCATTGCTTTTGATAATACATATTTGATGCCGGGTAAGGGGGGGGGGCTTCTTGTCAGAATGACCTAAGACAGGCTCAGTCTTGTTAAATAAAATAATGGGGGGAAATGTGGAGAGCTTTTGGGGCTGCCTGGCAGGAATCTGACATTGGGTCATGACAGGGAAGTAAGTTCAGACAGGAATCTAACTTTAGGCTAGAACAGAGAAGTAATTTCAGTCAGGAATCTAAGTCTTAGGCTAGAACAAAGAAATAGGCCTTAGGCATGAATATGACTGTGAGCTAGGACAGGGAAGTAGGCTCAGATATTTTTGTCATCCTGATGAGCCCTTAGAAACAGTGATCATGAGAGTGATCACAGGATTTTGTTTATTGCCTTGTATGTTCCTTGACTACTTGCATCTATTATATTGCTGGTTCCTCAACCTAGAACTGACCTAAATACTTGCATGTAATTAAAATGGTTTAAAAGAAAAAGGGGGCGGGGAGGGAGGTAATAAACCTGCCTCAGCCTTCAGCCTCAGAACAGGCTGGGGTCATACTACAGTGTTGCCTAATCGTCTTTTTTCTTTTTAATCCTCACTCCTGTGCTGGAGAACTGTTGACTGACTGAGCTGGCTTGGTCACTTTGTTTTATTCTTGTATGTGTTTTTCATTTTCTTTTGCAGGGGAGGTTGAAAGGGTGGAGGGCAGATTTGAGGGGACAGGGCGACGAGTGGGACTCAGGTGCATGATGTGAAACTCACAAAGAAT